AGTGGCAATGGGGACTGGAGAGATGGTTCAGTGGATAAGAGCACTGGTTGCTCTTCCAGAGTACCTGGGCTCAATTCTCAGCACCCACATGGCAGCTCTCAACTGTCTGTAACTTCAAGATCTGACACCCTCACACAGACATAATACAGGTACAACACCAATGAACATAAAATAAAAATAAGTTACTTTAAAATTTAAAAAAAGTGGCAATAAATAGAGTTTAGACTCCCTCAATATTAGGGGGAAGCTAGACAGAAGTATTCACAGGAAGTCTAAGTGAAGCATGGTGTGATCCTTGCATTTGGGAGGTAAGGTAAGAGACAGAAGTTCACGAATCTGGGGTAAGGGACTGGAGAAATAGCTTAGCAGTTAAGAACACCAACTCCTCTTCCAGAGGACTCAGTTTCATTCCCAGCATCCACATGGCAGCTTACAATTATCTGTAATTCTAGTTTCAAGGATTCCAATGCCACCTTCTGGCCTCTAAGGGCATTGTACTACATGGTGCATAGACAAACACATGCAGGCAAAACACCTATCACATTAGAAAGCATTTGCAGTCAACCTAAGCTACAAAGTAATACAGTCTCAAAAGTGAGTGGGGGGGGGGAGCATTGGGGAGAAAGTTTTGAGACTAGGGGTACAATTCAGTGGTAGAGAATGTAGTTAGTGTATGTATGGCTACAGATCTATGTGTTAAGAAACATACATAAAGACTAGACAATTCAGCTAGTTATATAGGCTGATACTTGGGGCCCATTTGTCACTAGAATTGATAGAAGGTTGCTTTTCCAATTAAAGCATCCCTAGAAGTAAGTGGGGTCCCTGTTTCTGGTCCATTCTTACTCTGGTTCTTCCCACTCAACTTTTCTTTGTCTACTGCAGGTGCTTGAATGCCTCCTGAATCTGATGCACAGAGATCCCTACTGGAAAATCAAGGCTTTCGCCATTCGAGGTATTTCAGAAATAGTCTTAAGCCTTAGACTTGAAATACTTTCTTTGAGCTAACAGATACCTAGAAACTCTAGCGAGACAGCTAAAGTGTAGTGGAAAGAACTGTCTTAGCATCTCAGAAGTCTCTGTGCTGAAAAAGAAAAGAGATTTTCTTTTAAAGGTTTAGCTAATGATTCTAAGTCTAGGTCTGTTTAAACGTGTTAGCAAAGAACGAACTATACAGTCCCCACCAACAGAATTAAGGATAAGTTTCTAGTTGATATCCACTGTTGGACACACCTTGCCTTCCCCAGAGATTTCAACTATAGCACTTGTTAAGAGTCAAATCAGATGCAAGACAGTTATAAAGAGCTTAAAACTTGCTCTTCGGTGGTAGCGCACACCTTCAATCCCAGTACTTGGGAGGCAGAGGCAAGAAGATCTCTCTGAGTTCAAGGCCAGCCTGGTCTACAGAGCTAGTTCCAGGACAGCTAGGGCTATTACACAGAGAACCCCTGTCTTGAAAAACAAACAAACAAAATGCTGCTCTTCAGTTTTTCAGGCTTTTTTCTAGAACCTCTGTGCTGCTTCTCTTTTTGAAATGGTCTCTGATAGACCCCCTAGGAGAACAAGACCTAGGAAATCCTGAGAAATAATTGTGCCTTCCTCCCTGACCAGTCTATCTTAACTACTCTGCTCTTCCATGTCAGAGTGTGCCCCCGATCTAATCCTGAGCAGGCGATCTTGGCTTTGTTTATATCCCATTAGGCAAGGACACGAAGAAACACTCCTCTTAGGGGTCCTTTGGAAGAACTATCCTAGTGCAGTCAGGCAGGGTGGAACACACCTCTAACTGCAGCCCTCAGAAGGCAAAGGCAGGGGGATCACTGCAAATGTGAGGCCAGCCAGGGCTACACAGCAAGACCCTGCCCCAAAGCTAGGCATCAAACACGCCCATGCTGAACAACACTTTGCTAGCTCTCTAAAGTTCCTTTCTAAACTTCACTACGTCTCACTTTACTATCTTATGATTAACTGCCATCCCGGACCAAGATACTGTCTGCAATACTCAATTCCTTCAATGACAGTGGAACATGCTTGCCCTGTCACCTCTACAGCTTTGGGACAGATTGGGCAAGTGAGTCCCAAGCTGACAGATCTTCTGCTCTGGGCTATCCACTATGAAGAATCACCAGGTGTACGACTGGAAGCTTGCCGCAGCATCCTAGCCCTCAAGCTTCAAGGAAACCAGGTCAGGGACACCTTTCTGGATGTGCTACTCCTGGAGGACCACGAGGCTGTTCTTAAGTAAGCACTAAACCTCTGGTTTCTGCCATGACCTCCGAGACTGCCAACTCTCCAATCCTTGAGCACTAAACATGTTCTGTCTTTTCAGGCTAGGGGGCAACAGTAAATCCTGCCATAATTAGACTGTCACAGCTCCCATAGTTCATGTGTTATTTCTCTTCTTCCAGGGAGTTTAAAATTATTCATTTATCCAACAAACATTTATCTAGTAGCTACTAAGACAATAGTCAACAAAACCAGGGTTTCAATGCCATGTATCCCCACTGTAAGTGCTGTGCCTCCTCCTAGCCCTTTATCTGTCTCAATCCTCCAATGCAGATGAAAGTCTACAGCATGAAGCTGTTGGTGACAATTAATGAAATGACATTTGGTTGACTTTCACAAAGGTGTTTAATGACAGTAACCGTCACTGCCTTCACATAAATACTCTGGAACTGCACAAGGGCCGTGTAAATTATCACATCATGTCTGCAGAGAAGACTCAGCTGACGAGTGCAGTTTAGGGTTTCTTGCCTAATTCCAAATCCTACATTGTTTAACAGCATGCTTTCTTTTTAAGGACAAGGTAGAACAATCTTTCATACATTTCAGGGAAATTTACCAGGCAATGATGGCACTCAACTTTGAAATGGAAGGAAATCAAGAAATGCTTCAGGAAATCAAGAACAAGGTAAATAATTACAAACTGTGTTTTCAGGAGGAAATCCAGGGCTTCCAAGTTTTACTAATAAGCATGAGCTAGTCAATTACTTTATCTTTTTTGTTTTGGTTTTTTGAGAGTTTTCCTATGTAGCTCAAAATGACTTTAATGATATTCTTGCTCAGCTTCTCAGCTCCATGCTTGGCATAATCAAACTACTCTAAAGCTTTTCCCTCATTAATCCTGTTGGTTGCTTGCTTTTCTAAACATTTTCCCCTTAGATTGAAACTCTAAGTCAAAAAGACTTGCTGACGGAGAAAATATTGAAGATGGAAGTGGCCATAAAGAATATGAAGGAAAAAGCAAGGCATATTTACTCAGAACCCAAGGAGGGCCAGAAACCACTGGAACTCCACACTTTCCTTGAAGACATTTTTGAGAGTAGGTTTCTGGGCGAACCCATCCCTTGACTCTTCTTACCAGACTATCCGGGGACCTAGACACTGGGGAACTTCACAGGAGCCGTATGATTTAAGTCAGGAAGGCTACTCACTGTCCTTCCTGGTCTCCACTCACTGTCCCCACTCCCCAGGTTTCCATCCATCTGCAACTGTGTGTAATTTAAAAGGTAGCTCCATCTGAACTGAGTTTAAAAGGACGTAGTAGAAAAGCACAAGTCTTTAGAAAAACAAATTACTACTATGTGTGTCTGATTAAGCACCCCAAGAGACCCTACACATTTCATCTGTCAGAGTGGCCATCTCCGGAAAGTGCAGCCGGAAGGAGAACCATCATGTTATGTTCTAACTTAAGGAAAAAAATAATTTCTGAAAGCTCTCAACCTTAAAAACAGAATCTATGAGTTATGATGACATGATCTTAAGAGGCCTAGATACACTCTAGATGATGAGGGGTCAAAAGTTGAACTATACCAAAATATACTTACAAAATCTGTAAGCAGCAACCTCAGGTCATTCGGCCAGTTGCCTACCAGCTACCACCCCAAACCCGGATCTTCTGCTTCCAAGTGCTCTTTCTGGTGCACCAGGCTCTCTTCCACCAATCATGAGAATATGCACTTGCCAGATTTGGGGAAGTTTCGTCCAACTGCCAGGGGAAAACAAATGAGAGTGGAAAGTAACTTGAACACCAATCTTCCCTGTGGCCAGCGTGCCAAAAGTTGGATGACTAAAGCCTATGAACGCATAACCAGGTGACATGACACTGTCCTCTAGGGAGCAGTGCCAGTCAGTAACTGACTTAAACCAAGCATTGAGCAAATACAATATATACTGCAAAGCTGACTGCCAGTGGAAGCTTTTCCGTTAGGGCTGCCCAGCTGGAGCTCAAGTAGCATAACTAAAGTGAGTAAACTGCCTCCAAAGCTAATAAATGGTCCCAACCACTCTGCTTCTCTTCTTTAATGAGTGTGATGCTGAGGATGAACCCAAGGCACCACACATGCCAAGCATACACTTGCTCTACCCAGTCCTCTTCTTTAAAAAAGTTAATATACTCCTTTGACATCATATATCACATCGCCTTTCATCTCTGCCATACCTCCCTTATCTCTTTCTTGTCCCATACTTTTCAAACCACCCCCCCCACACACACACCGGAAAAATAAATAAATAAAAATCTAGGCTTAGAAAAGAGAAACAGTCTTTGGCGCTTTTTAATAAATCTTCTAACATTCATACAAACTTAACATAGCATACTGACCCCGTCCCGTCCCACAAATTGATGAAAGAGAACGCAGAGAAGCAACTTCCATATAAAAATCCTTTAAGGTCTCAAGCAGATTGGCACAGCCAATGCCACACAACACACTGAAGGCCGCAGGGATTGCAGTTGGTACTGTGAAATGATAGGAGTCGTTACTTGTGCAGACACAGGTTTTCCCCCCCTGCTCCAATTTCTGTTTACTTTTGTACCTAGATGAAGATGTTCCTCCTAGAAAAGGGTCCGAGCTTTGCGACACTGAAGCAGCCTTAAAGGTAAACGTAACCATACTGATGCTCAGCAAGGTAAGACCCTTCTTGAAGGGAGAAAAAGGTGCCGGCGGTGGTGGAGGGAGAATCACGACCGCGTTCTTTGCAGCCGTCCTCTAGACACTAACTCAGACAAGAGGGGTCTTGGTGAGCAGCAGCCCCTTATCATACAGCATGGTTGCCAAGGAAAGCTGGTCTTCCACACTGTCACAGGGCAGATCCCCTACTCTCACAAACTCTGGGTAGGAGCGAAGCAAGAGCTCCATGGCGTCAGCTTGCTGTGGGTAGATTTCCAAGCACTTGGGTTCCTCCAGATGATAAACACGGGAGTTTTCCACCGTGTAATAGAGGAACAAACGGCCTCCCTCACCCACCAGCCGAGCTATGCCATCCTGGAGCATATGGACTTCTGTTTCTGTGCTCAACTGTGCCCCCACATTGACAGGCTCTCCAGCCTCCCAGCGAATTGGGAGCCCGTGAACACTCAGTGCCCGTTCCCGATCAGTCAACACGGGGGGCAGAGAATCGTGGATGAAGTCTTTGGCTCTCTGGTCGGCCACAGCATCGACGGGAGCGAAGTATCCCAGGCGCGCAACCAAGACCCGCACCTTTTCCATGAAAGCTGTTCTTCTCGGATCCTTAGAGTCTGAATGCTGGGCCCCCATGTAATCCATGAAGTCTCGAGGCAGACCCCTGCGGAACTCCACATTTTCTTCTATTGCTGCTTGCACGGCCAGGGGCAGTACAGCCTCCAGGAAGTCACCCCATGTATTGCGCTGGAAGGTGGACAAGGTGAGGTGCAGAGAGTGGACTCCATCCTGACATTCGGCTTGATGAATGAAGCCCCGAGGAAAATAAAGCAGGTCGCCAGGTTCCAGCACCGTTTGTAGCACCGGCTCACCAAGGTCCTCCTGGCTGAAGTTGGGACTAGATGTCAGAGCCAGCTCCTCACTTGGGTCCCGCGGTCGGTAGACACGCCAGAGTTTCCGACCTTCCAGCTGCAACACGAAAGCCTCAATGTCGTCGTAGTGGGGGGCAAAGCCCTGGGAGTTGGGGGGCGTGAGGTAAACGTTAGAGCCGGCCATGCTCCCGAACTGTTCCTGGAGCACGGCCAAAAACTGCCACACGGTGGGCGAGAAAGCCTGCGGGCAGAGAAGGCGCAAGGAGCAGCCGGCCTGGTACAGGGACCAGGCGGCGGCGGGCAGGGCGCGGCCCGGTGGATTCAGGGTCTCCCGCCGCCCGTCGACGTAGCGCGCGGCGTCCAGATGCTGCCCGAACTGCACGTCCTCGTGGCGCAGCATCGAGTCCAGGTCGGCGGTGGAGAAGAGGCCTCCGTAGTAACTGGGGTCCTGCCGCCGCACCAGCACCGCCTCCCGCTCCCACAGGCGCCGGTAGAAGTGATCCGGGGGCAGGGGCGCCAGGAGCCACTCGAAGAGGCGGGCGGCGCGTCTCCGGCTGCTGGGGATGCCGTTCAGCTCGGCCAACACCTGCTGCAGCGGCGAGTCCCACGGCTGCTCCGCGTCATCCACGCGCGGGCCCAGAACGGGGGCCGGGGTCCCCAGGAGGCGAGAGACGGCGGGCCGTCCCTCCACGTGGCGCCGCACAGACACCGAAGCCGGCCGCGGCTCTGCGGAGCGCGAGGGCTCCCGCCGCTCGGCAGGCGCCTCCAGCGCGCCCGCGGCCGGCTCCACCTTGGAGGCCGAGGCCTTCCGCAGCAGCGCGTGAGCCCTCACCGCGGCCACGCGGGCCGCCGCGGTTTTCCGATGCCTGCGGATCCTCCGGGGCCTCGAGGGCAGGGCCAAGACCGACCCGTCGCGGGGCTGCGGCTGGCGCCGCCGCCTCCCCCGCCCGCGCCTGGGCAGCGCCGCGCCGTTCTGAAGCTCCTCCATGGCGGGGCGGTACAGAACCGGAGAAAGCCGGCCGGAGCCACGCTCCTGCAGCCGCCGTGCTTGCTGGGAAGGGGGCGTTCCCTCCTGCCGCCCCTAGTAGGCCACGCCTGCCGTCCTCCTGGGTCCTTTGGCTGGCTCGGTCAGCCGCCTTCTATTAACTACGTGGTATGAGATAGAAAGGCTTAAAAATCCCTACCAGATAAAGACTCCTTGCTGACCGAGCAGTTTAAGAAAACAAGGCACGAGGCATTCCAGAAGAAAACAATTTCTTTCCTCTTTTTTGTTCGTTTGGTTTTTGGTCTCTCTACGCAGCTCTAGCTTGTCCAAGAACTTGCTCTGTAGACCTCGTGGAGCTCACAGAGATCCACCTGCCTCTACCTCGGGAGTGCTGGGATTAATGAGGTGCACCACCATGCCCTGCTTCCTCCTTTTTAGTCCGCTTCCTCCAGTCAATTTTGTGTCCGAAATTTTTGTTCCCCAGTCGTTTCCTGGTAGAATGAATGAAGGCGAGTTTGATATTCTATGTGAATCACACAGTTCTTACTGGTTCTCTTCACTGCAGGAAATTTCATTGTCGGCCAGGCGGTGCTAGCGCACGCCTTTAATCCCAGCACTCGGGAGGCAGAGGCAAGGGGATCTCTGAGAGTTCGTGGCCAGCCTGGTCTACAGAGCGAGTCCCAGGACAGCCAGAGCTGCTACACAGAGAAATCCCTTGGGGGGTTGCGCGCGGGGGTGGGGGGGGGCAGAAAAAAAACCCTAAACCTTCGTTGTTAAGCCTTTCTCCATTCCCTTTCTCCTTCCTCAATTACAAATCCTTGCTGGATATGGAGGTTCATGCTGTTAGGGACCGAGAGAAGCCCCCAAAGAAGACCTCCAGCCACAAATGCAATAACAAGGGTGTTTTATTCCAGTTTTGGGGTGGCACTTGGTGACCCCCCAAAGAAGGTCACAAGCTTCTTTTTGGAGAAGTTAGGGGAATTCCAGGGAGGAGAGATTAATCGGAGGCTGACTGGTGGAGGAAAGATTAGTCTGGGGGCTGATTGGTGGGAGGTCCTAGTTGTTAGGGACCTTCCTGCATCAGGGTAGGGAAAGCTATCTTTAGCATGTGGAAATCTGGGGAGGGGCACCTGCTGAGCTAGCAGAAGGGCTTTGGGGGACTACTGAGCCAGCAGAAGGGGTTCTGAGAGTGCTGGCTGATGGTCGCCCATAAGCTGTGGTTTTCGTGAGACATGCTTGCTCAGCTCTGTCCCATTCTAGTGAAGTGAAATTAAGGTCTGGCCTCTGTCAGGGCTCTAGTCTGCCTCCCCACCCCAGCTTTTTCAAGGCCCGTAATCCCAGCACTTGGAAGGCTGAGGTTACAAGGTGAGACCCTTGTTATGAATATTCTTTCTCTGAAAAGGAAGTTTGTCAGTGTTTTGCTACCTAATCCAGCCTGGCCTCAAACTCCAGGTCGTTGTCGTCGTCGTCTTCTTCTTCTTCTTCTTCTTCTTCTTCTTCTTCTTCTTCTTCTTCTTCTTCTTCTTCTTCTTCTTCTTCTTCTTCTCCTTCTTCTTCTCCTCCTCCTCCTCCTCCTCCTCCTCCTCCTCCTCCTCCTCCTCCTTCTTCTTCTTTCTTCTATTTATCTATTATGTATACAGTGTTCCACCTGTATGTTTGCCTGAATGCCAGAAGAGGGCACCAGATTTTATCCTAGATGGTTGTGAGCCAGCATGGAGTTGCCATGGGGTTGCTGAGAATTGAACTCAAGATCTTTGGAAGAGCTGCCAGTGCTCCTAACCTCTGAGCCATCTCTCCAGCACCCCCCCCCCCCGGTTTTCTTGCCTTAATCTGAGATGGCAGGTATGTCCAGTAGGTTGTTTCTGTTTCTCTCCTCTTTTTCAAGATTCTGGCTTTTTGTAAGGGTGTGTGTGTGTGTGTGTGTGTGTGTGTGTGTGTGTGTGTGTGTCCACAGAGACCAGAAGGGAGTGCCATATCCCTTGGAGCTGGAGTTACAGTTGTTTGTGGAATCCTTTCTCTGGTCCTCTGATCAAGCAGTAAACGCTCTCTAACCAAGGAACTATCTCTCCAGACCCCAGCAGACTCCGCTTCTGCATGCCTTCTTGAGGGGCGGGTGTGTGTGTGTGTGTGTGTGTGTGTGTACCACCATGCCTGGTAGAATCAGAGTTCCTGATTGGGGCAGGGTGGCAGCAGGAGTTAGGTATTTTAAATGATTTCTACATACGCCCCATGGAAGCTTAAGTGAATTGACCGGCACGTGTAACATTTTCAACTCGACAGGATCTACAATCACTAAAGAGGCAAGCCTCTGGGCACAGACTGGGCGATTGTTTAGATGAGGATGAAGTAGGAAGACCCACTCTAATTGTGGGCAGCACCATAGCATGGACGGGGACCTGGATTGAGTAAGCGACCGCTGGGCACAGCTCCCCCATTAGTCTCTGCTTCCTGACTGTGAGGAAGTGTGATTGGCTGCTTCCTGCTCTTACAACCACACCCTCCCCTACCAGAGTGGGTTGTAAGTCCACGTCCAAACCCCACCTCCCGAAAGTTGCTTTTCAGGTATTTTTGTCACAGACAAGAGAAAGTTACGGTGACAAAACTCACAGAGGACTATATCAGATGGGGCCATCGTGAGCGGTTGTGAAGGGACTGCTCTATCAGACGGGGCCATCGTGAGAGGCTGGGTAGGGGCTGGCTCAGCACAGAGCAGTGGGGACTTAAAGCAGCCAGGGCCCTACCAAGTTCTGTGCACTAGTAGAAGGCTGCGGAGGCCTGGAAGAAGGAGCCTCAGGAGGAACAGCCTTCACTTTTTAACAACCATTGTTATTGCTTTTTAAATTTAATTTAAAATATTTTGGGATTTATTTCATGTGTATGGGTGTTTTGCCTGAATGTATGTTTGCACCACATATGTCTAGACGAGAGCATCAGATCCCCCTTGGAATGGGAATTATAGTTAGTTGTGGACTTCCAGGTTACAGTCAGGATGCTAGGAATCGAACCTGGATACTCTGAAAGAGCAGCTAGTGCTTTTAATGGCTGAGCCATCTCTCTGGGCCCCGTCTTCCTTTTTAAAGTGTGTGTGTGTGTGTATGTGTGTGTGTGTGTGTACTCACATGTGGGTGTGGAGGCCAGGGGTCAATGTCGGGTGTCCCCCTTTGTCACCATTTTCCTGTTTTGAGATATGATGTCTCCCTGAAACTGGAGCTCAGGGGTCAGGAAGACTGACTGGTTAGTAAGCTCCAGAGGTCCTCCTGTCTTTGCCTCCCCAGTGCTGGGCCTACAAGCCTGGCTTGTCCCATGGGTGCTGAGGATCCAAACTCAAGTCATCATGCCTCTACAACAGGAGCTCTGCCAGCTGAGCCACACTCTCCCAGCCCTGGGAGCTTCTTTCCTAGGTGACATAAAGGCTGAGTGTGCTGGAAGAATCCTGGTATTAGGTCCCCCGGGGTGGATGCAGACAAAGTGCGGATCATAGGTGACACTGGAAATTAGATTTTCTTTTCAAAAAGAGTGCTTTCCAGGTGACAAAGGACAAAGCTGAAGTGAACCTGGGAATCTTCTGGGCTTCTCTGCTTCGTAGCTGAGGAGCCTGTGTTTAGCGACTGGAAGACGCAAAGTCTGTCATTTCCACATGCTGTACAAATATCTTCTCCTCCCAGCCCTTCCTGTGACCTCATCCTTTTCTTTTCTGAACATGTTGTGATTTCCTTAAATAAAGAGTCTTGCTGCTATCTCTGTCTTCTCATTTCCCCTGTAGCTGGGAGTTGCCTTTGGGGACCTGACTTATCTTGAACTTCATCACTTTTCCTGTGGCCTCACTTAGTTCTCACTACAGAAGCAGCTATTAATAACTATTTCCATAGGTGTCTATCATTGAGCGACTTGAAATAATGTCCTGAGTATATTGGGGAGGTTGTTGCTGTGAGATGGGCTCTTACTCTATAGCCCAGATTGACTTGGAACTCACTGTGTAGCCAGGCTGGCCTCAGATTCATGGCCATCCTCACTCAGCCTTCTCAGTGCTGGACTATAGGCAAGAGCCACCACACTTGGCTCTGTAGTTTTTTATAAATGGGACTAGGGAGAGGGGAATCAGGCAAAATAAGACTTCCATCAGAATTTGTCTAGGGCTCACATGTGCCAGTATATATGTATATATTTATGTGTTCCTACTTACATCTATACATAATATGAAAGAATGGGGGAGCCATTATATCATGGTACTCTAACAGTGATTATTATTGTTAAACCCTAATATAAACGTTGGAGGACAAGCCACCATTATCAAAACTCAGCATTGTTTCATCAAGTACTTCTACTCCCAGCACTCACGTAAATGACTCACAACTGCCTGTGACTCCAGCTCCAGCAGATCTGACACCCTCTTCCGGCCTCCAGAGGCACCTGCACACGGGTGCACATACCTACACATAGTCACACAGACACATGCATGATAAAACATATCTTAAACAAATTAAAGAATAAAAATGTAGGGAGCTGGATAGATGGCTCAGTGGTTAAGAGCACTGCTTGCTCTTCCAAAGGTCCTGAGTTCAATTCCCAGCAACCGCATGGTGGCTCGCAACCATCTGTAAAGAGTTCTGGTGCCCTCTTCTGGCCTGAAGGCACACATGCAGACAGAATGCTGAGAATACTGTACACATAATAAATAAATAAATCTAAAAAAAAAGAATAAAAATGTAAAACTTCATTTCTATGGTGTGCACCTGTAGTTTCAATTACTTGGGAGGCTGAAGAAAGAGGATCACATGAGTTCACAGGTTCCAGACCCACCTGGACAAAATAGTGAAGCCCTGCTTCAAATAAAATTCTTATGTGTACAAATATATGAATGCTCGTTGCTTATAGTTCAAAACTGTGCGTTAAGCAACAGCCCAATCTTATGAAGGCATTTTCCCCATGGATATTCCCTTCTCAGATGGCTAGCTTGTGTCAAATTGACATGAAACTACCCAGGGTGCGCAGGCATGGAGAAGTCAGAGGGCAACTTGCAAGATTCAGTTCTCCGTTTCC